GCGTCTTACGAACCTTCGCCCGCACCCTTCGCCAGCCCTCTTCCCGGCCCCACCTGCTGCCGACCGACCCTCTGTTCTTAAACAAGACACATTCTCTAAAAACCGCAGAACTCTGTTTTCGGCTCAGAAGCTGCAAGGTATGTACGACCCAGTTTACTTACGCATCTGGCATAAAATGTTTGTATTTTGTATATAATATTTTGTATTAACATATACCTATTTTTATAAAATATGTATTAATGTAATTTAATGTCGATAATTCTAATTTTAGCTCCGTGAATGATCGCTACACAATCGAAACGATCATTAGCAAAATAAAAATGTTTGATACCAGACAACACCTTTAATTTACCATATTTGATTATTAGAAGGTATCTACCTGATCAGCGATCTAATAAAATGATAAGAACTCCTAGTTTATACGCTAGCCATTCCTACCATATGGATGGCTATTTCCAATATGTCTGAAAGTGAATATATTTGGTTAAACTCTTAGAAAAAAAAGTGTAACGAGAATAATTTTTTGGAGAAACCTTATCGGCAGGGTACACTCACAGAGAAACCGAAGAAAATAACTCTCAATAATCGTAATGATTAACATAGTCGAATTTTATTAGTAAATTGAAGATCCGTGCGTATGTTGAAAGAGTCAGTGCAGAGTTTCACATGTCAGTTCATCCGCTTGTCCCCATCTCTCAGAGCCCACGCCGTTCGCAGCAAGTCCATCTGGAATGTCATACGTACTCTTCAGTCGTTCAGTCAATTTTGCTCCAGCTGCACCTCTTACAGTTTAACAGATCAATATTTCAAAGCATCAGTTAACTCATACTCTATCTTGCAAACATCATGCTCAATGAGATAAACATTTTCCCCAGCTTTTTTCAATGATCAGTGTTTGTTCCCCTTTACGTGGCTTAGTTGCTGCATCGAGATGTGGTGGCAGAGAGCGCAACGATCGCTTTGCGTATTTATTTTTGCGGAGCTTTCAAATCAGATCGCCCACCAGCGCAGATAGAATGATACAGTCCGATAAATGAACAAATGAACATGATTTCACATAAAAAACTTAAAAATCTGGATCATCTCTAATAATGCAGTTTTTGTCTTTAGTTGCAAATTCTCAACCTATCTAAAGGCACTTTGTTCGGAATGAATGAGTCTATTGATGTCTTTTGTAGTAGTGTATTCTATTTCATTTTGATAGGATATGTTTTGTCATAAAATGTTAGTTTTAAAATCGCATATAACAAATACTGTCAACTTACGAGACTCTTATACCAAGAATCCAGCGTTGTTGGGAGATTGTTACAGATTTATTCTGAAGGTCCCAAATAGATCCATATGTATCTCAAAAATAGTAAATCTCAGCAGGAGTTAAAGACTGGAAGATTTTTGTATTCAGAATTGATTAATATTGATTTTTTTGACTATTTGGAACTGAAATTATAGGAATTTTGTATTTTCATAAGGTATATAAATTTATGATATTTTAATGACAATAATAATATTATTCAACTACTCGTGTAAGTAATGTCAGTGATTAAATAACCTTTCCCAGGAGCTGGAGCGGAGGCAGGATGAGATGCTGGCAGAAGAGGCGAACCAGTGCCGGTTGCGCATCCAAAAGCAAATCGAGGCAGGTGGGTGATATGGCGTCGCGAGAGCGCTCCGGCCCCTTTCACTCCGAAGCACTCCGCCACGCACAGCACACGTTACATCTCATCACACGTTACACGTCACATGACACATCACACGTCTAATCACATAACATCACGCATCACATCACGTCACATCGCATCACGTTAAATCGCATCATATCATCCCAGCCCGCTTTCATCACCTCGTTTTCCCCGCCCCGCCACGTCACGCCCCATCACTACACGCCACACAACGCCACACCACGCTACGCTCCACCATTCCCCGGCCCATCCCACTCCATTCCACTTCCTCCCGCCCCGTCTCGCTCCGCATCGTATGGCTCCACCCCACCTCGTTCTTCCACAGAACGCTCCACCCGCACCCAGCTGCACCCCGCCCCCGTTCCGTCCCACGTTACTTCGCATTCATTGGCAACTCGCGGTCTACAAATGAGAACAAAGAACGCGACTCCGTGATCGCAAAATCGTGTGCGCTTGGAAAATGGGAGAGATGTGTCTTCATTTTCTGGATACGGCATTTAATTGTCCCGAAGCTAAGCTTGAAGGAAACCTGCATTATCTGTGCATTTTTTATCCCAAAAACGTGTTGTGAATGGTTTATTCTTTGTTCGTTTCATTCCGATTGGAAAGGGGTGAAAATGCAACTGATAAAACGATTCGTTTTCTTTCTTTATCACATTTACCATTATCAAAAATGTCATAGATACCAGTTGCATAGAGACGATTATTCATGTGCGAACTATGCAAATGGTAATATACTTTTTATAAAATTCTTCTACAAAATAACGTTGCCTATTACGACACAAACGAAGAGATCCGAAAATAAGCAACTAGTAAGCAAAAAATAATTCTACTAAACTGAGAGAAGACCCGCAAACGTATAGACATAGAAAAAGTCTGTAGCCGAAAGAGGCTCTAAGTATAAGAACTTTAAAGAATGAAATTACATTAAACATTTATTAACTTGCATTAATAAAACGTGTAATGGAAAGACATTTTTGCTCATTTTTACAGAAGCACTTTAAGTTACTAAATGTACTACTAATTCCGTAGGTTCTTATTTTAAATCACCGAAACCGACGTGAAAACGTATTTTCCAAATTTTTGGAACAATAACTTGATAATGTCGTATGCCCCAGTAGTGGAACAACACTTTGGAAAGTCCAACAGGGAAGAAGAAGAGGTAAAGGAAGAAAAGGAAAAGAGGAAGACAGCCATGACTTGGAAAAGGAAGTCAAGAGAAGGACACTTCAAGTTTGCGACAGGAACAATGATGGACTTAAAATTAATATTTTCAAACTTCTGCTGTTTGCAAGAACTTAGAAACTGTCACCTGATTCACTCGGGCAGCTTGGAAACATTTTGTTTCTAAAGCTGCCCAAGGAAAAGAAAAAAGAATACAAAGGAAAATAAATAATTAATAAAGACGAAGGGAAGGCCAACAATAATTAATACAAGTTTGCAGTATAAACATACTAACTAACCCACTACATTGGGTCAACTAGACGTACTATAAAGTATGTATAAAACTTTCATTTGTCATAAATTTGTAAAAGACATGTTGAGTTTAAACAAGTAATCATATACTTGCAGGCTTAATTTAACTTATATTTGTAGAGGAATTGAAAAGATTAAGAAGGAAATCCAGCCATCATGCATTCATTTAAAAATGAAGACTAAAATTCTGAAAGACATGGCACCTTTAAAAAATGTTGTCTTCTGATAGTCTCCTGCGAGCCGGATCAAGCTATTATAATAGGCTGACATAAAAATGGATTCCTGGAGGTTGTAAAGTTGAAGGGTGGTGATGACAGCTGTTTACCTCAGGCAACTTTACTTAAATAGGTCAGAGTTCACGTTCTCCTCTCCAGAGAAGACCTTTAAAGAGGGCCGCATTTCTGAGAAGATGCTCTAACCTAACAATACTGAAAGATTCTGGAGTTAGTAAGTATGCAAGTTACCAACTATGCAGCATTAACATTTATCTAATGAGGCAAAGAAAGGGGAAACTATCCAGTGAATAATGCTAGTTAGAAAATAATCTGCTACAACAATCACAGCTATAATATTTATTACAGCATACCCATGTTGGTCGCCGGCTGCACAGGGGATGCAAGGGGATGGCAGGTTCGACTTCCCCTGCGCACCCCGGGACCAACATGGGTATGTTGTATTAATATTATAACTGTGTTTGTTGTAGCTGATTATTTCCTAACTCACATTATGGATTAACACTAGAAATCTGCTACCACCGAGGTAGCCACCGAGGTAGCCACCGAGGTTTATCCATCCAGTGAAGTCACACACCACACTAGTAGAAGAAGTAAACCCCAAATTTAAAATTTGTTAATTTGCACATTTGTTATAAGCATGAAAGTATCAGGAATTCGAGAGAATTGAAAATTTCTGATCAACGAGAACAGGGCATTTATCTGGTAATTTCAAGTCTAAGAATGGTATTAATAAGATTATTTCACGAAGGAATTCCTTCAAAAGAGTTTCCGAATGTGCCAAACATCATTAATTTTTTAAAGGAAACTAATGTTTACAGTCAGCAGACGCATACGGTTGATGTACAGCACCTTACTATTGGCTAGTAGTGAGGAGGTGATAAAATGAAGCTGTAAGAAATATCGATTTTTTTAGATACTCCGCCATGATTGTTGCATTCCAATGCTATAGTTAAAGATTCAATCCATGGGTGGAATACTTATTTTTTTAAATATTCTTATTCCAGATTTATTTAAATTAGAAACCTTGTGTTTAATGTGGATGAAAAACTAATGTTATAGTACTAAATGTGAATTGAGTGTGTATCTGACTTAGTGATTAATATTTCGCTGTTCACAAACGTAGTACAAGGAAGAATAAAGTCGTAAGAAAAGATTTAGCGATGCGTGATGCCACTACGTGGGACTATTTCGGGTGACTTGTCCCTGTCACTCACACAACTGACTGAAAATGCATGTGCTAGAACAGCATTTCCGACAGAAGCTGCCAAGCCTTCGAAGCCCCCCAGACATCTTTCTTTCTCTTTTTACGATTCGGTTACAAGTTACCGACACGCAGGAAACTTGCCAGAAAGCTAAGTGGAAGAAAAAACACGAAACCCACTGCTCAGAATTTCAACTTTAGAGAAATCAAACAACAAGAAAGATCTGATGTGAATTGGAGAATGCAAGTTAACGTCATGTGAGTATAGCTCTTGACACAGTATTAATTGAATTTCTGAATATTTTTGACGAGTGACTTAAGAGTGGTCCACTGAGAGGGTATTTTTGGAAAAACAATGTTTCATCATCATTGATTTTATCGACCTAAATAATAAATAAGTTTTTTGGCGTCTTCTTTTATTTTCTTGCTACCGCTTATGCATTAGAGAGGAAGTTATGTAATTTTGCGCGAAAAAAGCGAGTTTGTGGCAGAAAAATGTATTAAAAAACCCAGGTAACGAAGAAGTAGATAAATACAGTTGATAAATATAAATAAATCCTCTAACACGTTGTGTATCTAGAATCCATGTTTTGTGGGGCCTGGGTCGGAGGACGGCAAAACGTGTCTGTCCGTCCGTTCGTTCGTCTGTGAACAACGCTACCTGCTAAACAATCCAGCCGATTTTCTCCAAAATTGATGTTCTGCCATCGATCTGGCTGATGTCGAGGCCTCTTGAATTTGAAACCGAAATTTTAATTTTGAGGTCACTTTACATAAAGCTTTAGGGAATTTTAATTTTTTTTCAAAAATGCCTCCATTGTTTTTTAATACATTTTGTTTGTGGATAGTGTGAAGGATATTTAAGAGAATGGTGCAGGACACATTCTCGTTGAAAACTCTGTTGTTGTTTTTTTAAATTGCGAACATTCAAAATAATTTCAGCATTTTCCTACCACTATAATTGAATCAGTTATTTTTAAAATCCCGCAAATTGGGAGTTGTTAAGTTGTGGGAAAACAAGGAAAACTGATTAATTAAGTACGTAAAGAACTTTACTGTTTGTTTAAAATTTCTGATGTATTTACGTGTATCAACAGTACAGTAGTTGCTGGATTTATTTAAAAGTTTATGAGCTATGGTACCTCAGATTTCTCAAAATTACCTAGCACATGCAGATAGCATTTATGTGCAAAAATTCCAAATACATGTACACTAACTTACAGATAAGTCAACTTACATACTACATTAATGTACATCCATACATACATACACACATACATTTATTTTACTCACATATAAACATACATACACGCGTACAAGCATACGCTGACCCATGAACCCGCTCGTATACACAAGCCTGCACCTTATCACTCATAAGAATATTTAGACAAATATGGGTAAACATTTTACCTATGCTACAATATGATTCATATAAAAATTATTACATTCTCAATACGTGAAACCCTCGTTGACATAAATAACTAAACATAAAACAATGCCGTTTTAGATCAGTAAAACAAACAGAAAAAATTGAAATCACTTCACTATACCGCACAACATATCACTTTATATATTAACTGCTGAAAACGTTTTAATGTAAGACTCTCTAATAATTACACCTTTTACTTTACTTCATGTTTTCACACTATTGACTATCCTATATTGTTTTCCTGAAACCTCGTGATGAGCAAGGAAAGGGCTCAAAAACTGCCGCACTCAAACCGTCCCAATCTATTATTGTTCTGTTTACAAAGGAGAATTTGCATACACCCGCTCTTTGTATTTGTGTTATAATTTTATACTTGTGATCAAATCTAATTAAATCATCTGGTTTAATTTCCCTTCACGCAGAGCAAGATTTATACAGTGCGCACAAAGTCATGTCCTTTTTCTTCGGTGTTCTAATGATTCCCAATGTGCAGGTATGTTCTTCCGAACTGTGAATTTTGCCGCTCTGTTTTTTTATCATCTCTAAGCTCATTTTAAGTCCTATTCGGTTCGGATCCCAACCACTAGATCCGTATTTCATTACCGGTCTAACGAGCACA